GCTGCTTATCGGGTAACCAGAGCTGGGAGCTGCGTCCACGCCTGAAACAGGAAGCCCAGGCCTGTGCGTGAGCCCTGAGAGCCTGCAGGTGCCTGGGCAGGAGGATGGAGGAGCAGCGGGCGCTCGTGGCCGCCAAGGACGGGGATTTGGCCACCTTGGAGCAGCTGCTGGAGGCTGGCGCCCTGGGCCCAGGCATCGTGGACGCCCTAGGGGCTGGCCTGGTGCACCACGCCACCCGGGCCGGCCACCTGGCCTGCGTCAAGTTCCTGGTGCAGCGGGCCAAGCTGCCCGGCAACCAGCGGGCCCACAACGGGGCCACCCCGGTGCACGACGCAGCTGCCACCGGCAGCCTGGCCGAGCTGTGCTGGCTGGTGCGTGAAGGGGGCTGCGGTCTGCAGGTGAGCACGGCTACAGGGAGGCAGTGTCCCTGTGAACAGAGGGGGCTGAGCTGTGAGCTAGAAGGTCCTCTGTCCTGGGCTGGCGCCCTCTCTCTCTCTCTCTCTCTCTCTCTCTCTCTCTCTCTCTCTCTCTCTCTCTCTCTCTCTCTGACTCACCATGAAAACCACACAGCTCATTCTGTGCAATCTGTCTCTGCCTGCCCCCACCCCCCACCCCTTCAACAACACAAAGCCCTTGCAAGCCAAGGCCACCTCCTAAACCACCTCGCATCTCCGTCTCCCCACCTCCCCGCACAGGAGCGCCTGGCCTTGCCAGTGGGGGTCCTGCCAGTTCTCATCAGGCCTGGTCGTGGGCCTGACTCTCGGGATCTAGAAAGGGCCCACAGGCACGCGCAATGGGCACTTGGGCTCTGGAGCTAGAGCCCCGTGCGTGACTGAGGCCCTGATGCTAGAGAGAGGTCTCCAGAGTTCAGGGACGAGCTTGTGGGGGAATTTCCACCGGGGCCTGTCCTCCCCCTGTTCCTGTCCGATTCCCCTTTGTGAGGAAAGACTGTGAGCAAGTTCTGACAGAGCGCTGTGGGCCTTGGGGGCCCACCGGGTCCTAGGAGAGGGAAGACTCACTGGTCACAGCCTGAGGCTGCCACCAGGCGGGAGGGAATGCTCCTGTCCTGCTGTGCCTGGGAGAAGGCCCCAGGCTGCGGCTCCCGCAGTGGAAATGCTCTGGCCAGGACCTGTGCTGGGGTGGGCACTCAGTGGCCGGGATGGAGAGTGGGGGATTGGTAAGGCCAGGAGGGCACTGGTGGGCACTCAGTGGCCGGGATGGGAATTGGGGGGTTGGTAAGGCCAGGAGGGCACTGGCGGGCAAGCGGAAGCCTTTCTGACCGCTCACAGAGATTGGGAAGGGGCACTACTGTGCTCTGACTGCACGTGGCAGGTCACAGATTTTGACCCAGACCTGGACTGGAGCCCTTTCCGTGAGCAGGTCGCCTCGGAAGAAAGGGCCTCCCTGGCCTTGGAGGAAGCAGGGGGAGATGAGGGAGCAGAAGCTTCCAGCAGGTGGGGTCCCTGGCAGTGTGGACCCCAGGCTGGCTCTGGCCACACGGGTTCTGCCCAGCGGGGTGAGTCCAGACCTGCCACCCATTCTCCACCTGCCTGTGCCCCGGTAGGACCAAGACGCCTCGGGTGTCTCCCCACTACACCTGGCCGCCCGCTTCGCCCACCCGGTGCTGGTGGAGTGGCTGCTCCGAGAGGGCCATGCAGCCACGCTGGAGACGCTGGAGGGCGCCCTGCCGCTGCACCACGCCGCTGTCAGCGGGGACCTGACCTGCCTGAAGCTCCTGGCAGCTGCCCACCGCAGGTGAGGGGCTGGAGTGCCTCCTGCCGGCAGTCTGGGGGCCTGGCCCCTGGGGAGGCTGCACCCAGGGGCCAGAGAACAGCTGGTGAGCAGGCACACAGGGACAGGACACAGGGGCGGGCAAGCCTGGCTGTCCTCACAGCCTCATGTGTTCCCAAGACCTTGCATCTGAGCAGTGGAGCAGCGTTCTTATTCCTGGTCCCCCATCCCCACCGCTTGGTGAAGGCCTTTGGGACTTGCTTTGCGGATCTTCCTCAGAGAGTCCACGCTGGCCATGGAGTCTCTTAGACCCACAGTTTTAAAGTATTTTCTGCCTTTGAAAACTGGGAGACTTCACATTAAAATATACACACACACGTGTGTGCACACGCACACACACGCACACACACGCACACACACGCACACACACGCACACACACGCACACACACACACGGGAAGGACCAAGCCCCAGAGGCCAACATTCCCACTTGGCACCACTGCAGGAGCCAGAGGTGAAGTCTGTGTCAGCCTTGGTAGGGGATGGCCTCTCCCTGCAGAGTCACTGGCCTTGCAGCAGGTGGAGGCGGAGGGGATTTGGGAAATCCCAGGACCTACTCCATTCCATTCACACCGGCCCCAAATGCCAGGCCCGAGTGCCCATGGATGGGATGGATGTCTAGTGGTTCACAATGTCCCCTTTTGCAGAGGAGGCTCAGCTCTGAGTTCACTGACCTGCCCACTGCAGGTCCCTTGGCTAGTCTACCTGAAGCGCCCCCTGCTGGCCAAGCCCAGGAGCGCACACCTTGATGAGGAATGGGCGGAGCTGGATTCCAGCAGCCAGAGTCCTCATCCCCACTTTCCGGCCTCAGCTGGTTCCCTTGGGCTTAGGCAATGGGGAAACCTGTGCAAGCCTACAGGTGGCTGGCTGGGACCCCTCAGCGGGTAAGGGAGCTGGAGCTGGCCAGTGCCGGGCCTCCCCTCCCCTCAGTCTGGGTCCTTAGCTGGATCAGTCCCCACCCCCACCCCGTGACC